TAGGGCTATCGAATGCACTTTTTTGCGTCGCTGTAGCTCTACTGGTTCCCGAGTTATGCGTTGGCTTCTTGGGAACTGTCGACATTCGACCTGAAAATCGGCGAAATTGTGCCTTCCATGATATCTGGTGACCTGACCTTTGACCCTACCAAAAAATGATTGAAGTGATTTCGTCGTTATTTTTGACGCTCTTTCGTACCCCGCCTTTCGTTTATCGCTGCGTGGCCCGGGAGCCGAGTTAAAAGGTGGGAGGGCGGGGGATTCAAACACCCGCCTCCCCCAGCAGTGCGTGGAAATCCAGGACAGTTGTCAATCCAGTAGGGACAATCCAGTGGGGAGCGGGTTAAGCAGCTATCCACCAACAATCAACCATTCAATATCTGAACAATCTCTGTTTATAGGCAACGTCCACGTAGCGTAACAGGCATGGCTCTCATATGTAGTATCTGCTCATGAACCGGCCGTCACCTCAGGCTCTCTGATGACCTCCTTATGACCGCGCTGTGTAACCCCTGGCTGACATCGCTGACCCCTAGGGTCAGAATTTGTCAGTGATGCTTTATCCATACTCGTAATTATACGGGGTGTCGCCTCACTGGAGACTGTAAGATTATTTACGGTTGGCGAGGTAGGAGATGATGCCACATCGGCAACTGATCATCACATTGCGGCATTTTTTCTCCATTCCCGATCTAATGCTTCCAATCACACTCAGAGAGTCGAACTCGACACCATTTTAGCCTCGATATGAAGTGGGTGGCATGCAGCCCAAAGGCGGCTCTCGCGGAGCGTTTGGTGACGACGGTAAGACTCTCGCTCGAATTATTCGGCCAAACGCCTCTCAGTTTTTTTTTTTTTCGAACGTCGCTGATCTAAACGGTGACGAGACGGGCGGCACCGAGACTGAGCGTCCCGGGCCGACGCGACAGCGCGGGCTCTCGATGAAGGCGTTTAACGGATCGGACGCCGGACACTGATCCGATTAGAGAGCTGACACGACTACACACACAGGCAGCCTGACGTCCCGAGACAAGTGGCTGACGCTTGTAGGGGAAGCTCCGATATTTCCCGCTGAGGACGAGATGGGCGTAGTATCGATTTATCCAATTACTTGGGTGCGGTTGGAACTTTGAACATTCAGTTCATTTATGTTTAATAGGATAATGCAGTTGTATTGCAATGCTTATCGATTTTTTTAGTGTGACCGCGTTGCCTCTATTTGCAGCACTGTGTGAGCAATGCATATACTTTCAAAAGTCTCGGGTCATTAGCGCTCGCAAGTGGCAGTGGCATTCATCGGCCTATTCTCGTGCAGTGCTTGACCTGTCGAATCAGATATCCGACGCGCTGTCTGGCGCAGATGTCTGCGTAGAGTAACGTAGACCCAGCATGGTATTGGCTGATAGACCATTTGATATATCATATACAAATCCGGAAAATGTCACTTTTTATGGATCATCCATGCATTGCTGTATTCTAATCAAGTACAACCCTCAGCAGACTGCGTGGTAGGTATTCTTTTTTCGACAAAATGACCGGTAATAACTCAGAGGCTATGCTATCAGTCGGTCAGAACTCACTGCAAATAGATGCGCCATGCTCCACTCCTTCGATTAGGTGTATCACTAAACAAAGTATACGCCTTGTGTGGCAACAAAATGCAAAAGTTTGTTTTGGGGGCAAATATAAACTTTTGGATTTTGTTGTCGAACTAGAAGGAAAATGAATACGGTGATGATGCCAATCTAAGGTGCGGAGTCTCGCGTGTCTTCCTGTTACGATTTGCGAATGACCGATAGCATAGTATGCGCATTATTCTCGTTTTTGTCGAAAAAAGAATATCTACCACGCAGTTTGCAGAGGGCTGTACATACGTATGTTATTATCTAAGCATCAAACCTACTCTGGGACCCATTGCTGCACGCTGCTTTTGCTGCCGGCAGCAATCAGCTGATTAGTTAATGACTTCTGATCGTCAGCAGCAGCGTCACTTGCCCGTGTGACGCCCGGTGGCATCACGTGACGGGGCACCGCTGATACCACCTGCAACGAGTGTAAAGGCAGTCAGCCCACAGCCACATATCCTGCATGCCTGGGCTGGTCTTCCTCGCGTGGCCCAACCAAGCTAGTGAGCCATGAACCACATTCGTGGTTCATGGCATCCTTCATCGTCCGCTACCGTGACTTAATGCCATTCTTACGCCTGAAATGACCATGTCCAATCAAGCAATTTCAGTGGTAATTTAACCCGAGGTCAATTGAGGTCGGGCAGCATGGTGTGAGAAAATTACCCCTACTGACAGCTTAGAACAAAGAACGTCGCGGTCGGGTCACAGCCTGACACAGTAGCGGTGCTAGTGTCACCAAGACGCCGTTAATCGCCGCGTGGGACTCGGCCATTGGGACAGCGGCACCCAAGAAAGTCGTCCGTCGCGTGACTAAGAGCGGTGCCATTTCTCGGCCCACGGCGCGACTGACAGGGTGATGTGTCGCCACAGCTCCGGGTCGGCGCAGACAGAGCAACAAACATACGTCTGGGCCGTGTTGACGCTGTGTCCGCCGGGTCCATAGGGTGACCCGAGCTGACCTCCTTGCCACTCACCGCAGGCTTCTGGGAGATCCGGCCGCGCAGGCGGGCTAAGGATGGTGGGTGTCATGCAGTGGCTTCCAGCTAAGGAAAGAACATCAAACACCAGTGGCCGTGGAATTTGCGCCACCTTCATAAACAGAGCTGTACAAACACCTGGGCTTATGTTCGAGCGGGGTAGACGCATCCGGGGGTTGACAAAATCCTGCGACCACCATGACCGATGGTGACACTTCATAAAAACAACATGGTGAGTAGCCCCGTCCTTTCGAGATCCTGTGCAATGTGCATGCTGGCGCCGGCGGAAGTCAATCCGCGTGACATAAGGGTGTGACGGTCTCAGGTCACACTGTGACCTGAGCGTTACCTCGGATCACGACCTCGTCGCGTCTGTCCACTGCGCCGTGGCAGACTGCCAGCGGCACCGACTGACCTCGGTTGACCTTTCTGCTGCCGGTGCAGCTTCTGGTGGCCAGCCAGGCCGGCGGTTCCGCGCGAGCCGAGATTAGACAGGCATGCCGAATGAGGGGAATGCGGAGTATCTCGCCCTCAGTGCGGCATTTCTGCCGCGCGCCGGGCGGTGGCCGCGCCGTGCTACTGTCGCCGCCGCGGTGCTCTCGTCAAACTCGAGGTTGCTGTCAGCGGTCGACTTCTCTGAAGATATCCGTCTGTCGAGTGTCGGTTATGTTAGAATGAGCTTAGTTAACTTTAGTTAACTTTTAAAACGGCTGCTCCAGAACACTATGAGGTTATGAGTGGTCGCCCGCCAAGCATTTGACTGCTAGGAACTTTGATGATTATTTTCTTTCGGCAGTGCCCACGAGCAGCTTATCGACATAACAAATAGCTACGCTTGCTATCGTGAGCTTTAGGCTTTCGCTAGGCAAACAACTAATGGAAACTTTCAATATTTGGTAAATCTGTAGGGCTTACCGCATGTAAACATGATACAGTATAGAAACTCGCAGGCAAACAATAATACAAAGTGGTTATCATGTTGGACGCAGGCTGGCTGAAAAGCTGCAAATACAGTCTACTTGAAAAGTATATTTGAAAAAGTATTGTCCGCTTTATTGCAAATACCATTATCTGCAGGAAACCAACACTTCATATACATGGTATACTGTACCACAATCGGCATATCAGCGCACTTATCACGCTTTCTTTCAATGTCTAACTGCCGCCTGCATTATTAACTTTTTAAAGCCATTTCTCACACCTCGGGTCCACATTCATCAAACTCATGATTCTGGGCTACACGGCTGGATCCCTGGAGCTTCCCACTGTCATTTGCCGCTTTAGGGGACGGGCCACTAGTCGCCGAGTTTCTGTTCAGGCTCCGCGGTTCGCCGGTCGCCGAACGATGTGAGGTAAAAACTGGCACCTCACGGGAGCTCCGGCACGGGAGCACGGGCTGTGAGTTATGTACGGGCGTCGTGGAACCCGTGGAGACAATTTAGCACACCTCCATGCCCCGCTGGTGGCTACAATCGACGCGTCAGTCGGAGGCCAGCAGGGCGGCGGTAAAATTTCATGGTAGCGCTCCATGGCTGGCTCACTTACTAGTTACTCAACACCTGCTTACACCCCTATTTCTACTTACATTAGGGCTATACCCTTACTTTACTGTGACCCTTCCACCACCAGATCTCACGGGCCGTCATAGGTAAAGAACTTGCAGACTGGCACAGATGCCATTTGAAAACACATCAATATTGCATGTGGGTTTTACAATGCCCTCCTAGTCAATGCACCGCTTCTCGGACGAAGTTTCATGAACAAAATGTTCTTATAGTAATAAGACATTCGTTAGCTAAGGTTCGTTATGCAAGGGTTATTATCGGATAAGGTGTATGTGGGATAAGGCTCGTAACGGCTTAGGATCGTAGCCGAAAAAGTTATCATCGTATACGGCTCGGACCTATAACTTCTCGTATAAGGTTAGCATCGTATAACTTGTGCCCCTAGCGGAAAAGGTTAGCATCGGATAAGGTTCGCATCATAAGGCTCGTAAGGGATTAGGTGCGTATGAAAAAAAAAATAGTATGCCAAGGCAGGTAACAGAAGAGGTTCGTACAGCAAACAGTTCGTAATCAATGATTTATGCAAACGTTCGTATTAGACCTACGATTCACACTGAATAAGCATAGGCGCGGGAGCTGGGGGCAGTGGGGGCAGCTTGCCCCCCCCCCCCCCAACTCTTGAGCCGTGGGGGCGGTGCCCCCACAGCTTTGAGACGAAATACCACACTTTTTTGCAAATGTTTTTTTTTTGTTGAAAAAGCCAAGCGATGAAAAATAAGTGGCCTAAAACCGATGAGAAAACTAGATTTGGGGGTACCCTACGTTGATCTCTATTATGGTGTGCCCCCCCCCCCCCGTCTGAAAGTATGTAGTTCCCGCGCCCCTGTGAATAAGGTTCGTATACGGGACAGAGTTCATACAGAATGACGTTCATAGAGGGATAAGATTCGTGACGGGTAAAGATCGTAACGGATACAGTACCGAAGAGGCATACAATGCTTTATTCAAATTTCATCGGACGTATTTTCATTTCTACTGATTTTAGGGAATAGTGAAATCCATGGAACGTATTCCAGGAAATCGACCGCCATTCGTCTGTGCTCGTTTCTCCTGACAAGTACACTCCGTTCAGATCCGCACGAAAGCACTCCTTAAACCACCAGCCACTTTCGCAGGTCACAGCACACTCTCCTGCAGCACTGTCGTTGTCTCTATCTTTCGTCGAAAACGGCTGTCCAAAGTGGTAGCTGAGACTGTCGCCCGCATCTCCAGAGTAGGTTCTCGCCGTTAAACGGTACCCATCGCGCTCTGAGGACACCCTAAAGTCCTGGTACACGGCGTGCTTCCTCTGGCCGTTGAAGTCCTCCAGGTCTACTCGCAACTCGTATCGCCGTCCAATGGGTTCCGTCATCAGCCACAGCTTCTCTAGTCCCCACCAGAACTCTCCCGTGAGCTCTCCGAAGCCGGTCTTGTACTCGGTCCAGTTGCGGTAAAAGTTCTCCCGGGGCACGATGTCTGCGCGTCGCTGGAATACGGTCCAGTCTCCGCCACCTGTGTCCAGGTCACAAAAGACCTGAGCGGGGGCAGCCCGGTCTCGACCAAGGTGTAGAGTGTAGACGCCGCTGCAGGCACCAGTCGGTAGGTCGCTGCAGTCTCGCAGTGCAGAACAATGCTGACGAGTCGCCGACTCGGCTGCCGCAGCGTTGGAACAGATGCTGGCCGCGCTCAGTGCGGCCTGAAGGGTGGTCTGCAGCCCAGTCGAGTCCAATCTCGCATTGATTGAGTCCAGCCTAGTATTCAGAAAGTTCGATGCGTGTGTCTTGATGGTTGAGCTTGTCCACGATATCGTTCGCGTGGTTCGCTGGCCGTTGAGCTCGCTAGTGATTGGGTCCAGCGCGTTCTTTAGGGCACTACTGACTAGCACCGTTAGACGTTCAAGAGCATCATCACCCTTCCCTGGCTCAACACCCATCGGCGGTGTCGGCGTCTCTTCGGTCTGGGTAGCTTGACACCTGACTGACACACACAGCACCCACATCAGGAGCAGGATGCCGCGGGCTGGATGTCGAGCCATGACACGGGACGCAAGTCACAGCAATTGACACTCGTTTGGAGGCTGGAACTCAGTTAGCCGGGGACCGAGACGACTGGCGACCAACTGGTGAGGAGAGCTCAGCTGGTGTCCTGGGACGTCTCACTTGACACAGCACTGCGCGGCAGCTTCTCTCGAAACGGCGGCAGTGTGTTTATTTAGATACTCACTAGTTGGGTGTCTGTGGATTCAAGGTTTTAATGAGGACGCCATGCCATGTATTTCGATTCAATTCGCATATTATTTCAAAATGACTTACCAGCAGCGGTTTTTATGTGTGTGGGTATGAATAGGTATGACAGAGAACTACAAAACTGTGTTCAATATGTTTGTGTTTTGTTTTGCATGTTTTGTGTTTTGGGATAAAAAGACGCTGCTAGCCTGCATTATTTGAAGTCTTTTGTTGAATTTTGGTAGAATCTAGAAAAAAAAAATGATTCCTGGATGCTGGCAGTGGCATTAAGAAAGCCACATCAGAAATGCTACATGCAGCAATTTAAGAATTTATATACCTATTTTGAGCGGTGCCGTTTTTATTTCACGTAACACATCAGTACAACTCCGACTTCTCAGCCCTGCTGCGGACCGCGACTGGCTGCTCCCTGATAGTACGATACCTACCAACACAGTACACACCGACACTCTGTGACCGGCTGCTCCCTGATACCGACACTCCGTCCGGTGCCGCGGGCTAAAACACGCCGCGCCTCCACGAAAACACCTGGACTCTCAAGGCTATATAAACCAGGTAGAACGCTCCGGGAAAAAAGTTGGAAACAATAAATTAGTTGCGGCATTCCCTGATGACGCGAATGTGGGTCAGCGGCCGGCGGCCGGCCGCCGCTAACACTGTATGAGGAGGGATGCGCGGAACTTTTGCTTGTTGGTGATTGCGCTAGGCAGTTAAATGGTAATGTTAGGATATGTTTCGAAAGTAAATTGAACGACGCTTCGAACGCCGTCAATGAATTTGCGATACGAGGACTATTTGTTTAGTTAGAGCCGGCGAACTTTTACCTTCCGACCGCGCGCGGAGGCGATATGGTGCCACACTGGCGGTTTTTACGATAGCTCAAAATTCTTTTGAGATAAAGAGATGAAATTTGACATGTCCTATCTTTTGATCAAGCTGGATCTTATGGTACAAGTCGCATATTTAAGGTAGGTCAGGTTGTTGACCTATGTTGTCGCTCGTGAGCCTCTGCACAGTCCAAAAACAACGCAATTTCTGAACACTCAGTGCCCAGAAATCCTTCACAGAAAGATGACACTTGGCAGAAAGAAGAGTTGTCGGTTTCTTACCGTTCGTATGTGTCGTGTTTTCACAAGAGTTTAGTAAGGTCAGGTCCGTCACGTGACCTCCCCTCATAACTCAATAGGTTTACTATCATGGAAGCGTTTATCAATCGCCGGAAATCTTAGCCAATCCCACTGGACACTGAATCCATACCCACATGGGGCCCTCCTGACTGGCCACTCCCTCTGAAATCCACAATAACATTGGGCTGCGGCCACGGTTATGTATTAATGCTTTTCACTAACAGAAATACAACTTCAACCAGCACAGTGCACGCCGCCACAACAGTCCGACCCACGTCCCTGATATCGACTAGCTCCCGGCCGGATGCACATACGCGGAGCCAATCAGTCCGAATGTGACCTTCAGCTTACAATTGCTGTGTCGCATGGCGCATGGCACAGGACGATTCCTAGCAGCTGTCGGCTGGAGTGGAGAAACAGCACGTTGCGACACACCGCGCCGGCGACAGAGCTCAGCAGGGCTGGTTGGAGGCTGGAGCCGGAGGTAAGGGCGGACACAGGCACAGACATTGCAGGACACAGGGCTGCGGAGTCGGAGTCGGAGTCGGTCGGAGTCGACAGTTGTGACCGGAGTCGGAGTCGATTTTAGAAACCCGAGCCGGAGTCGGAGTCGGAGTCACCGAAAATCTGTCGACTCCGCAGCCCTGCTAGGTCTGCGGAGTCGGAGCCGGGAGTTGGAGTCGGTCGGAGTCGACAATTCTGCCCGGAGTTGGAGTCGGAGTCGGAGCTGGTTTTTGAAAGCCGGAGTCGGAGTCGGAGTCGGAGTCGCCGAAAATCCATCGACTCCGCAGCCCTGGAGGACAAATAACAGGATGTCAGTTAGGGATATAATTCAAGACGAATGATTCAAGACGGACTTAAATAATACACATTTTGCTCACTTGGGTACCAACTTCAAACTTGACGTTTATGTATAGCACCATGGAAACAATGGGCACACAGGAAAGAAACAAAAGATGAGGGTTTTTTAACTCAAGGAAGTAAAACAGCCCAAAGTGCAGACAAGCACATACTTTTGGTAATAGCTATCAGCTGTCCTACTCCTCTTCTCCCTTCATCAACTACTGGACACATTTGAAGCATCATATATAGCACCAATGTCCATAACCAAAGCTTGCAAGTAGTTTTAACTTCTATGAAGCCAAGGGAAATGTGCCTACATCATGCATGTAAACTCAAAATTACACATGCATGACAAAGGAAGCTTATGTAAAGAGAATAGTTGACAAAAGCATCTCATGGTTAAAATTATTCAAAACTGCACACAGGGCAAACATAAAAAGCAGCAAGTGTACTGTTCTGTTATGCTAGTTCTTCTATGCCCCTTCATCCATATCTTGATTACAGATGGGCTGTTACTGTAGGCTGATGAAGTACCACTTGATTGCCTTTGTGTGAGTTTCAGTTGCAGCCTCCTTGGTACTGCACTGGAAAGCAGATTGAATTGAATGCCTCTGAAAGATAGGAATACAGGCAGGGTTAGCTGTAGTAGTGTCAATGATAATAGACAATAGACATGACATTTTTGTCCTTTGACATACATTTGTTGAAGTACAAAAAGGTACAAAATTTAAATTGGTTTGTTTCAAGACACGCACACTGCACAAAGCCGCACAGACATTACACAGGCATATGAAATTGGTACACATAAAATTTGATGATTAAAAAGGTCAAAACTTGCAATAATAATTGAAGTAAAAGTTACAATCACAATCATTTGATTTAAAATGACTTGACATAAGTCACAAGACGCAACGCTCCTATTCTTTTATGCTTTCATTATCCTCCACATATCAACCAGCTTGATACCAGGCTGTGCAATAGTGTGTACATAACCCCATGTTGCCATTTTATTAGAGCAAGTGGGGTTAAAACAACAATGCTAATGTCAAACCCACATCTGCAACCCGTACTGCAGTTTCAATCACCTTACAAGCACACCTTCTGGCAGTTTGATAGGCAGAATGGTCATTACTACTTTCCCCTCATATTCAACACATATTCCCTTTATACAAATACAGTTTAGACCTGGTTATGGCAAGCACTTTCGAGAAAAGATATGATAAAAGTCCAAGACAAAGGTCGAGAGAAACAACACCAACATAAAACACCGACTATGTAGCACTAATACTGTCAAATTCATAAAAATATATGCATGAGTCGATCAGAAATTCACTGTAGATTTCGAAAATGGTGTCAAATGCCACTCAAATACCCCCATTCGCATGTACGAAGCAATAAAACACTGACCTTCAATTCCGCGTGCCATTCTCCATAGGCCACTGTGTATTAACCCTCGCATGTGTGCGGCGTTTGCCAGCTTCTAATGTGTAGGGGGGGGGGTCGGTTGGACCCCCCCCTTGCCGTTTGGCCCCTGATCGAGCTAGAGCTTCGCGGAAAAAACGAGCGTGTTGCCCGTGACGAGAGGAAGCCGATGATACCCAATTTTAAGGTCCTAGGTCATTGGTTGACCTTCCAGGTCAGGTCAATGACCCAAAGTCGGGAAAATCGGGACCTGTTAGAAAGTCGTAAAGTGTGGCTGCTAAGGGGTTTTTCGGGGTGCTGATCACGAATATCGTGTTAGTTTTGATCACAGGTGATGTCTTGAAGCATTTAGACCAGGTCGGGTCAGGTCAGGTCAGGTCAACCAGTAGGCGTCGTGACGGGTATTCGTAGTACGTGTCAACCGCCTCTGACAGCTTCGTAACATGTTACGAAGTCACCAAAACTACTTCGTAAATGTTCAAATGGTTGCTAAATTCGAATTCAGCTCCAAAAACTAGCCTAGAAACATGTAAAACTCGAAAAAGTGACCCGAGGTCACCCGAGGTCACCAAAGGTCAATGACCTGACCTGACCTTCAGGTGACCTTGACACACACGGGAGTAACATCAAATCACATGTTTGAACGTTTGAAACCACGAAAAGCTTGCAAACACGCGGCTAGTGCGAGCCGACATACGCGAAATCGCGATTCCGGCCAAACATGGTCTCGGAAAAGAGGTCACAGGTCAAAGGTCATTTGGGTCAGGGTCATGAAATTTTCAGGGTAGGTGTCAAATTGATCAATGCGAGGGTACTGAAAGTTTCGTCGCGATCGGCCGCTTTTTACGCGAGTTATTCGCGAAAAACCATGGGGGGGGTCCATCCGACCCCCCCCCTACACATGCGAGGGTTAAATAACGCGTTCACTGATAGCAAAAAATGAGACCCACATATGACGCGTTTGCTACCAGCCAATCAGCGCTCGAGTTACCGAGCGCTGATTGGTGGAGAGGGCCGTCGTCAGCAGCTAGTTGCACGTTGTTTTCCTTGAACATGTGCGTGAGCGCTGATGCTGCTCACGGGCTGTTGCCATTTTTCGTAATGCTGAAGGCACGGGAGCGAACCCCCCTGTGGACTCTCATTAACGATATCACTATTCCATCGCGGACCTCCGGCGGGAAAGGCTAATGCCTCATTACAGGCAGAGACGCCGGGGGCACGCCGGTCGCCGCTCTATGCCACTCCTCGCCGTAGGAGCAAAACAAACACCGAGCGATGGCGCAGCTCCCGATCCCTGTAGACGGTAGAGTATCCCGCCCGCCATCGCGGACAGCAGTGAACTTGATCTAACGCCGATATAAGCGAATAGTGAGGGCCTGCAGGGTAACAAGTGTGTCCTGGATTTGATGGAGCAGAGCACCCAGTACCTGTAATGCAAACATGATCGCAGCAGAATGCTTGAGATATAAT